TGCTGAGGAAGGAGAAGCTCAAGCATGATTTACAGACGAGTCTGCATGATGTGCTGATACCACCCAAAAGTTACAAGCTGCAGCATGACAGCCCCACACAAGGATGACTCTGAAGGTCAGTGGGGAAGAAAAAACTTCCCAGTGTGTAGAATTTTGAGCAGCATGTTTGGTTGTCTGGAGTGAGAGATGGCCAAAACTATGGTGGCAGGAATGGGATCTCTGCATGATCTCAACAGCGTGGACTTTCCCTTCCCAAGGCTGACCTGGCTAACACCACTGCTGAGGGCCCAATCTGCCAACAGCAGAGATCAATGCTGAGGCCCTGATATGGCACCAAGCCCCATAGGGACCAGCCAGCCCACCTGGTGGCAGGTTGATTATGTTGAACCTCCTCCATCATGGAAGGGGCAGAGATTTTCCCTGACAGGACATATATCCTGCGTGTGGATTTGCCTTCCCTGCCCAGAATGCTCTGCCAGCATCATCATCTGTGGACTTATAGAACACCTGAGCCACCATCCTGACATTCTGCACAGCATGGTGTCTCATCAGGGAGCTCACTGCCCAGCCAAGGAAGTGCAGCCATAGGCTCAGTCCCATGTAAGTCACTTGTCTTACCACTTGCTCCATCGTCCGGAAGCGCCTGACCTAACTGAAGGTTGAAATACCTCACTGGAGATTCAATTCCGGTACTAGTTGGGAGACAACATCTTGAAGGGTGGGGTTATGTCCCACAGAATGCAGCATAAGCTGTGAATCAGAGGCCATTATGTGGTGCCGTGTCCCCCCCGGCCAGAATACACGGATCCAGCAGTCAAGGGGCAGAAGTGGGAGTGGCTTCTCTCATTCTTACATCTAATAACGCACTCACAGAATTTTCGCTTCCTGTCCTGGCCACTTTGAGCTCTGCAGGTTTGGAGATATTCATACTCAAAGTACCAGGGGACACAATAGTTCCACTGCGTTGGAAGGTAAGACTGCCTCCTTATGCCACTGAGTCAACAGGCACAAGAAAGGGCTACTCTACTGGCTAAAGCGATTGATCCTGATTACGAAGGAAAATCTGGTTCCCAAGGGGACTATGGTTGCTGCCCTAGAAGCAAGAATGACTGGGTCTGGAGCCTAGGGCTTCATTGCCTGGGGCACTGCACAGCATCACCATGCCCGATAGTAAAGGTTAATCAACCACAAAAGGCAAGAGAGTGAGGCCTCAACCTTTTGGGAATGAAAGTTTAGGTCACCCCTCTAGGTAAAGAACCCCAACCAGCTGAGGTTCTTTGGAAGACAGGGGAAATACGGAACGTACAGTGAAAGAAGGAAGCCATCAGTATCAATTACAGCGCTGTGATTAATTACAGAAACGAGAGCTGTAGTAGCTTTGCATATTTTCTGGTTTTGGATATGCTTCATTTGCTGCTTCTCTCTCCTTCTTCCCGTTTTTATTTTATATACAAGTTGTTGGGACTTAACTTTACATTTTAAGCAACAGAATATTCCCGGGGCGGGGCAGGGGGGCTGTTACTGAACTTGAGGAGTAATTAATATGCCAGTGAAGGATACAGTGACTCTCGGGGGAAGGGTAGGAAGTTCTTCACCTGTAAGAAGGATGACCGCATGTCGTTAGAGCTGTTCTGCTGCTGGAGTTCAAATGCACATGAAAGGTGCATATGAAAGCAGAGCAAAGGGGCGGACTGTGCCTGTGCATTTATTTGCTTGGTGGCCATCACAGAGTACCACAAACTGGGATTTTCTCACAGTTCTAGAGGCCAGAAGTCCAAGATCAAGGTGTCAACTGTGTTGATTCTTTCTGAGGCCTCTGTCTTTGGCTTGTGGATGGCCATCTTCTCCCTGTGTCTTCCCTCTGCGTGTGTCTGTCATAAATCTCTTTTTCTAAAGATACCAGTCAGGTTAGATTAGGGCTCCCCCTAACGATATCGGTTCACCTTAATTACCTCTATAAAGGCCCCATCTCCAAATACAGTCACATCCAGAGGGTCTGGGGATAGGAACTTCAATTTCTGAATTTGGAGGCAGGGGACACAATTTAGCCCATAACAGCTTATTTATTGCCTCAACTCCAAATTCACCTTTTTGGCCTACTCTGTGAAAATGGTCCTGGGCCTTTAAAATAATTTTTCCTTGCCAGCTGGCACTGAAGAGGACACTGTAGAGGCATTTGTCTGTAGAGGACACTGAAGGGGCATTGCAGGAGGAAAGGATTTTGCTTCATGGTTTCGAAGTCCTCATGAGGCAGGCTCCAGCATTCCGTGCAGCCTCCCCAGCACCCACCTCCTGCAGTGCCTGGTGCCGGCAGCCCCCACCCACTGCCACGCCCAGCAGCCTCTCCCCCAGGCCAGGTGGTTTTATAGCAGAGCACCTCCAGCAAAACACTCCCTGTGAAGAGCATTCCCAGGACCCTGGAGGGTGGGTATCAAGTGAGTCCCAGAGTGTGGGCTGCAGCATCCTCTCTGCCGTCTCCAGCAAGGTCTGGGGCTCACCATGGGGGCCTCTTCCTTGGGTGCTTCCGAATCTTGGGGGTTTGGCTCTCCTTATATCTGGTGTTTCTTTATTCTTTAGAGTTCTCTTTACTTCTTACTAGCAATGTTTCATAACTCCAATCCCCTGCTATAGTTAATACTTCGTATATTAAACTCAGTCTGTTCATCTCGCCATGTGATTTCTCCCTCCTGGTTGGCCCCAGACTGATGCGCTGTCCCAAGAGAGCCAGAAAGCAGCTGTATCACCTTATTACCTAGCTGCTGTAAGCTGAATTGTGTCTCCCCCACCAAAAAAAAATGTATATGTTGAAGTCCTAACTCCCAGTATCTCAGAATGTGAGCATATTTGGAGAGAGGGTAATTTGAAGAGGTAATTAAGTTAAAATGAGGCCATTAGGGTGGCACCTAATCCAATCTGACTGGCATCCTTATAGGAAGAGATTAGGACACCCCAGGGGCACATGTGCACAGAGTGACAACCATGTAAAGAGGCAGCAAGAGGGTGGCCATCTACAAGCCAAGGAGAGAGGCATCGGGAGAACTCAACCTTCCCACACCACGATCTTGGACTTCTGGCATCCAGAACTGGCAGAAAATAAATATCTGTTTTTTAAGCCCCTTCAGTCTGCGGTACTTTTTATGGCAGCCCAAGCAGACTAATACACTAGCTTTGGAAATAATGCAAGGCCATTCCACCATACTCTCTTCATTAGAAGTGAATCGCTGAGTTCAGCCCACAATAAAGGGTGGAAATTAGACACCAGTGATTGATGGAAGGAATGTCAAAGCATTTGTGGACATGTTTTAAAATCAACACAGAGGCCACAGTGGGAGTGTGACCAGGCAGGATGTAATAATGTCTTGGCCTGGGATGGAAAGAAGTCTAATGATTCAGAAGATTTGGGGACGTAAGGTTGCCAAGACATGAAGGTAAGTTGGAAATGGGAGTGAGAGTAGGGAAAGAGCAAAGACTGGATTCTGGTCTGGGAGCTGTCCAGCTGGGTGCACGGTCATGGCATCCTCTGAGATAGAGAAGAAGGCCACATGTGATGTGGAAAAATCATGAGTTCAGTCTCAAACATGTTGAGTTTATGGTGCCTTAGGGACATGAAAATGGAGATGTCCAATAGACAGTTGGGTTTTGGAGAGCTACACCTGTGAATCTTCTTTCTGTAGGTGATAATTAAACCATTAAGCATGAAAACTGTTGCTTGGGGGATCTTACTGAATGAGAAGAGACCTAGGAACCATGCCTTAAGAGATAACAACATTTATAGGTTGGATAGAGGCGGGTGAGTGTGAAAACAGAGACTGAGATAGACGAGGAAGTCCAAGACAGTGTCATGTAACAGAAAACTTATCAGTTCAGACTATGTTTGGCTACAAGTAACAGGGATCCAAAATAACAGTGTCTTAAAAAATAGGTTTTTCTCTCTCTTTTGCATAAAAGACCAAAAGACCATCACTTAGAGTTGGTTTGGCAACTCAACAATCATCGGGGATCTAGGCCCTGGCATCTTTAGCCTGTCACCTCAAGGTCAGTTCTACCTCCTGAACATCTCTGGACACTCATCATCTCCACACACCAAACCACCATTGCTCTCACCTGCACCATTCTTACCCAGACACCTATTGTTGGAGGAGTGGCCAGAGAAAAACTTCTGCAAGTCTGGCCATGGCACCCCCCGCAAGGACCTTCCAATGGTCTCCTGCATATTTAGATAAGGTCCAAACTCCTTCATAAATCCCTTGATGACAAGTAAAGCCCTTGATGATTTGGTCCTTGATTAATTTGGGGACCTCTTGCCTTGAACCCCTCATATGTCTTCATATGCCAGAGGCCTGGAGAACTGGGTTCTAACCGTCTAATTAAACTGCTTCTCCACTGGAATGCCTGCTCTCTGCTGGAGGTTATGCCTCATTTCCCCATTACCCCACCCTGCGCCAACACAGTGTATGTGAAGACAGGGTTGCTGAGAGTGCGTGGGAAAAGCTAGACTTGGGGGTCAAGAATCCCGGCTCCACTACTCACTGAATGTGTCATCTTGGGCAAAACATGTCTGGCCTCAGGTTCTCCATCAGTAAAATAGAGGCAATCAATCATCCCTCCCCTCCTCAATGACGTACTAGAATCAGAAGACAAAAATATTTGTCTTTGTCACCAGCACGCTATGACTTGGTCTCCACCACTTTTGCCCAACCACCAGAACAGTGCCCGGCCCAGAAACTGGGCCCAGACTGGGCTGAGGCCAGCGAAGTGTCTAGGGGCAAAATTTCAGGCAGCGCTCACTCTCGGGTTCCTGCAAGCCGAGGGTCGCCCCCAGAGTGACTGTCCGAGCGCCTCGGCAATGCCCAGAGGCCAGCGGGAACGTCCCAGAGACGACCTACCATCCCGCGCTGGGCCCGCGCTCCGGATTCGGCGTCGTGTTCATAACGAGGCGCCCTCGTATTGGCCGCTGTTCCGTGACGCCACCAGGGCGCGCCTGCTCCTTCCTCCTCGCGTCCTCGCCGAGGAGCCGCGCGGCTTCGCTGCCGCTGTAGTGCCCTGGGCTGGCCGCGGTCAGCGGCGCCCGAGGTCACTGGTGCCGGTGCCCAGGCGCCGCCGGCTTTGGCCTCCAGCCCCGCGAGCCCTATCCCTATAGTGCAGCGCGCCCGGCAGGACCAGCCGCCGCCAGGTAGGTTGGGTCTCGGTCAGGCTGGGAGGGTCCCTGGCTGCTTCCAACCACACGGACGGGGCGGACCCTAGTGAGTGCCCACCGATTGCAGGGGACAGAGCGGGCACATAGGGAAACTGAGGGACTGGCTTAGGTTCCAGACGAGTGGACGGTAGGGTGGGAACCCACGTTCGAACTCCGTCTCAGGCTGCGACACTTGTGCTGTTTCCACCTCATGCCACTGCCTCTTCGCATAAGGACTCTTGCAGAGTTGGCTTGAGCTCGGGCTGTGTGGTCTAGTGGTTACTGCAGAGGTGCCAGGGCCACTTTCTGATTGGTACCTTGGCACGCGACTTCACCTCTTTAAGTCTCAACGTCCCCTTTTGTAAGATGGGGGCACTCCACCTGAGGGGATTGCCGTAAGGGTGGAATGAATCCGCATGTGCCTGTTACATGGGAAGAGCACAGTGAGTGGGGCCTGGGCTTATTTTGGAGAACGGGTGACCAGCCTTATCCCTGAGGCAGCAGCTAGAGGGCGCCCACAGTTTTCCCAGGCATGGCTGACGGGACCTCTGGAGGATCTCCTGTTGGAGGCTCCTGCTTATCAACAGAACCTTCTGGGCTAAAGTGCTCTTGGTGGTGGAGGTGCATGTGTAAGACAAAAGGACAGAGGACTCAAGCCCCCAGTTTTCTGGTCAAACTTGTGGGCCAGGACAGTGGTGACCTAAGTCTGATGAATCTTTAACCAAACAAGGCAGATTGAATCATCCAGGTGAGGACCCAGAGTCTGGGGCTCAGAGAGCTATCTCCACATTTCTGAGCATAAAAGGCTATTTTTAAAACATGGAGCCATGCAGGGGAGGGACTGTGTGGTAAGGAATGGAGGCCAGACTTAGATTAAGAACAAAACAAGAGAATGGGGTTTGTCTTTAAGTGGAGCCTTGGACTCAAAACAGGACCTGAGCCCTGTTGATATAATAGTTTCTGCCACGTCTCCTGAGGTTGGCAATCATTACGCTTTCCCAAGTAGTGAAAAGTCAAGCCTCTGCTTCTGTCATTTGTTCATTTCAACAAAGAGTCACTGAGAGCCTTCTGCGCACTAGGCACAGTGCTGGGTAGTGAAAGAGAGAGACATGGCCCCTGGACCCAGGCTGGAGACAGCCAAGTGATGCCTGTCAGGCCTAGACCCCACTGTTTGTCTGCAGCCTCTTCCCTCAGACAGCCTGTGCTCTAGGGGGTGAAATTAAATAATTACTGTCTGGAGGGGCGGGTGAGGGGCTGCTCCTAGAAGGCTGGGACAACCTGGTAGAGGTTCTGGCTTGATCATGTGATCAGTGGAAAGCATTTTAAAAGTAGGAGAGTAACAGATCTAATTAGCATTTTGAAAATTGCTTATGGGAGCCGTGAAGCCAGTTTCACCAGTGGTCACTTGCCCATGTTTGCCTGCCACTCTTAGCTAATTCCTAGCCCTGCGTAGTTCACATCACTTCCTCAAGGAACTAGACAAGGGCAGGGCCCTGATCATTGTCACAGCACTAGTCCCAAGAGCTGAATCTTACATCAGTTATTAATATCTGTCTCCCCTGCAAGCAGACAGCAGGGCTGAGTTTGTCTTACCTACACTGTTGCCCAATGCCCACGGTGGTGGCAAGCAGTGTAAACTTTCAGAAATTTTTTTCTGAAAGTTAACACTGTGTTGAAGTATAACACTTCCTCCAGAGTTGAAGGAACACTGGAATCCCTGGGACTAGCTTAGTGCTTGGCATGAAGTAGTTGTTTCTCTATAAATATTTCACCTTAAGAAGTATAGCAGGGTAAGATAACTTATAAACATGGACCACTGCCCATGTGGTGTGCCAGGAAAGGCTGATGGGGCAAAGGGACTTGGGCTACAGCTTGAGGAATTTCAGAGATCCTGATGATGGTTCTGGGATTCTCTGCCCCTGGGTCCTGCTTTTTTCTCTGTAGGCTCTGATGCTGGTCTCTGGTAGAAGGCGGCTACTCACAGCTCTTCTGCAGGCTCAGAAGTGGCCCTTTCAACCCTCCAGAGACATGAGACTGGTGCAGTTTCAGGCACCCCACCTGGTGGGGCCTCACCTGGGCCTGGAGTCGGGGAATGGTGGGGGGGTCATCGACCTCAATGCCTTTGACCCCACGCTCCCCAAGACAATGACGCAGTTCTTGGAGCAGGGAGAGGCCTCGCTCTCAGTGGCAAGAAGGTAAATCAGCGGGCAGCATCATCCTGCAGCAGCTGCCTTGGTCGCCCTCTCCCTCCTCCCACCCCCATCCCTGTCCCAGGAAACAGCACCAACAGGTAGCTCTCTTGCAAGGGAACAAGGTAACCCCTCTTTCCTCTCTCACCTGTTCTGTAAGTGAAGAGGCTTAGAAATCTTATATACCAACATCCTCAATTTACAGAAGGAAAAACTGAGGCCTAGGGAGGGTGATTAACTATCCCAAGGCCACACATTTGGTTCTGGAGCCAGGACTCACTCTACTTCATCATACTGCCTTCCCTGGGGATTAAGTCCCTGCCTGCCTGAAGAGTCTGGGACCAGCGTCCTAAAAGGCATCTTGGGAAGCTGAGGGAGGGATTTAGATTTCCAGCTCCTCAGAGCAGAAAGGACTGCAAAGAGATTTTCTCTAAGATTTGGTTCCTGGGTTTGAGCTAGATTAAGTGGGGGTGTCCCTGAAGTTGAGAGCCCTGTGGAATCTAGTCTAAGGGGATGATGAACAATAAATTAAGACCACTTTAAGATGTCATTTTCACCTATTAAACTGGCAAAAATACAAATGTTTCACAACTCACAGTGTCATTGACAATATGTCCCCATACTGGCGTATTGTTGAAAGATTAGAAACAACTTTCATGTCCCTCATTAGAGAATTAGGTATATCTCTATAGTGCAGTAATACGCAGCCGTAAGAAAAAAGGGGAAGCTATCTATGCATTGTTATACATTGTTATGGAGAGATCTCTAAAATATATTAAGAAAAAAAGGTGTATGCAATGTGTTATCATTACATACAAAAGAGTACAAGGAGACAAGTATCTATAGAATAGTTGTGTAGATCTAGGGAAATGGGGTGACCAGAAGGGGTGAGAGAGACCTTTCCATTTATTCCCATTTGTATCTTTTGAATTCTCTTACATGGACATGAATTACCTAAGGCTGAAAGGAAATCACTGGATAAATAAGAAGCAGTGCTCTGATATCAAAGGACAATAGCTGGGCTTGTTTTCACACTGACTCAGGTGGTTGATAATCTAGAAAATATATTTTAGAAAAGCAAAACTTGCAGCTGCTGCAGGATCTCCCCAGCCTGCCACAGGATTGCCAACCTGCTCCCAGCCGGCCCCTCTCTCCTGCTCTGGTCTCTATAGAGCCCTGGCTGCCCAGTTGCCAGTCCTACCACGGTCAGAGGTGACCTTCCTGGCCCCAGTCACGCGGCCAGACAAGGTGGTGTGTGTGGGCATGAATTATGTGGACCACTGCAAAGAACAGAACGTGCCTGTGCCCAAGGAGCCCATCATCTTCAGCAAGTTTGCCAGCTCCATCGTGGGGCCTTACGATGAGGTTGTCCTCCCACCCGAGAGCCAGGTCGGTGCCTCCCCTCTGCCCTCCCCACTGGGGCCCATCACAAGGGTGCTCCGAGCTCAGCATTCAGCCTACAGGAGCCACCTCTTACTCAATAGTTCATTAAATAGGAGCTGCAGGGGATTATATGTACAGTAATAACATAGGCCTTGGAGAAAAAGAAATTTACATCTTTTCCTGATTACAAATGTAATACACCTTCATTGTAGAAAAGTAATAAAATAAAGATAAACATAAAAAAATTAAAAGTCACCCATATTCCCACTGCCCAGGGCTTATAATATTAATGTTTTGCTATATATTCTCCCAGTATTTTTCTGTTCCTGCATATATTTACACTGCGCATATATTTACCTTTTACTTAAGACTCCATTATTTTTCATACCATTAAATATTCTAGGGTTACCGTGTAGTTTTCTGTTGTACCAGTGACTATAGTTTATTCACTAGCCTTTTATTTCTGGATACTTGTTTTCAGTTTTTGGCTTCTATAAATAAATGTTGCAGTGAACATCCTTATATAGAGAAGACTTTACACATCCTTAATACATGATTATTTCCTTTGAATAAACTCTTAGAATTTGAATGATGTATTAAAGTACAGGCAGTATTTCAAAACTTTTGAAAAATTCTGCCAAATTGACCTTCAAAAAAATTGTGAAAGCAATTTACACCTCTACCAGCAGCATATGTCCCCTTACTAACACTGGTTAGTTTTTCTCTCAAATTGTTATTGTAGAAATGCCTTGTAAATTATAGGAAAATTGAAAAAATACTACAATGAACACTCACACTCTTCACTTGATTTCACTGTTAACATTTTGCCATATTTGCTTTCTCTCCTTCTCCTCACCCCAGCCCTGCCTTTCTTGCTTTTTTTTTTTTTTTTTTTTGCTGTTTTTTTTTTAAGAGACAGGGTCTCATTCTGTCACCCAGGCTGAACTCCTAGCCTCAAGCAACGCCTCTGCCTCAGCTTCCCAAAGTGTTGGGATTACAGGCGTGAGCCATGGCACCCACCCTTCCCCTCTCTTTCCACATGTACACTTATGCTTCTGGTCGGAGGTGAGGAGAGAACCTTTGAAAGTAAGTTGCAGACATTAAGACACTTCACTCATAAAACTTAATATGCATCTCCTAAGAATAAGGACAATGGCCTGCATGACAATAATACCATTATCACAACTAAGAAAATTAGTATCTAATGTATAGTCCAACTGTCCCAATTCCCAATTGGGAATACTGCCAATTAGCCCAAAGATGACTTTTTAAATTTGGTTACTTTTTTGTTGATCTAGGATCAATCAAAGCCACATATTATGTTATATTATATTATATTCAGTTATGTCTCTTCAGTGGTTTTAATCTAGAACAGAGGTCCACAGACTTTTTCTTAAAGAGCCAGTTAGTAAATATTAGGCTGTGAGTGCCATATGGTCTCTTTTGCAACAATTCAGCTCTGCTGTTGTAGTGTGAAAGCTGCCAGGGATGATATATAAATGAATAAACATGGCAGGGTACCAGTAAAACTTTAATAAAAACAGGTTTGCCAACCCCTGATCTCAAACAAATCCCCTGCCCTTTTCTTAAAGAATCCAGTCAAATTTTCTTATAGCATGTTCTATACTATGGATTTAGCTGGCTGTTTCTTCATGATTAGATTAATACTGAAGCATTTTTGTCCAGAGAGCTCCACAGAAGATGTGCACTTCCCACTGCATCCCACTGGGAGGCTCGTATCAGGCGGTCCCAGAGTTTGGCCACTTGGTTTACTTGATGTTCACTAGATCTCGCCGTTGTGAAGATGTATTTCCATTGTTGTTATTAATTAGCAATCCATGGGTGGTAGTCTGAGACCATTCGACCATCTTATTGCCCTACAGCTCCTCACGCAGGGATCCTGTGGCCATCCTTACCTGAATCCCATTATCGCACTGGGGGTTCAAGAAAGATGACTTTTCTATAGTGCTTTCTATTTTTGTTAGCTGGCATATTTCTATGAAGAGCTTCCTCCCTCCCATTTTTACTCCTGTGCCATTAGTATCTCTGTGAATTCCTAAATTCTATTTTTATTCAGTTGGTTGTAATCCATCATTTACATTCTTTTTGATACTCATTTGACCTCAGTTTGGCCAGTGAAGGGCCTTCGAGTTGGTTCCCATCCCTGTCACTTTGAGCACGTCCTTGTTTTCTGGCTAAGACATTCCAGGCTCATCTTGCACTGTCTGTCTTGGACCTGGAATGAGCCATTTCCCCAGGGAACCCAGTTCTTTTTAGTGGGGAATAGTATTAGAGACCAACATCTGGATGTCAGGCGTACTTATACCGACTCTGGTTATTACCATTAGAAAGAGCAACCAGTTTGAAAGGCTAAATTCTATTTTGCAGTTGCACTTTGCTGATTATGGGAGAGGCTGAGCATTTTTTCATATTTTTGTGGCCATGTGTATTTCCTCCATTTTGTGAATTGCTTATTCAAGCCCTTTGCCCACATTTATTTTGGGATGTTGATCTTTTTCTTATCATTTAAGTGAGTTAATACATTAAAGCACTTAGAATAGTCCCTGGCACAAAGTAGGGTTACATATTGCTAGGTGTTATCATTACTCAGTATTCATCCTTTGTTGCAAGTATCCAGAGTGGCTTTTAAACTCAATCCCCTAGACAGGTGTTGCTTTTCTACAGTCACACTGTGGGAACTGTGCCTGTACCCAGAGATGCCACCTCCCACTGCCCAAAATGTACAGGCCTGCAAGTTGGGCCTCCCGTCATTCACATTGCTCTGGTTCATGGTGACTGCAAATGCATGCTGGCAGCCGAGCCCTGCTGTCAGAGGCCCAGGCCCTGAGGCATGGTGTGCAGCCTCTCAGCCCAGAGCCACTGCCGCTCACTGTTCCTCTCCCACCTTGCAGGAGGTGGACTGGGAGGTGGAGCTGGCCGTGGTCATTGGGAAGAAGGGCAAGCACATCAAGGTAACGTGGAAGGGGTGGGCTCCCAGGCCAGAGTGGAGCAGAGGCCCCACTTCCTGCCTCTCCTAGTGCTGACCTGGTCACTAGCACTGGGCTGCCAGCTGTCCCTGGTACTGGGAAATGGTCTGCCTACCTGCTCCCTGACACTGCCTTGCCCCTTGCCCACCACCTTTGGCTAGCTCTGGCTACTAACATGGGATAAAGGCTTTGAGATCCTTTGTCATAGGGGTTAGTGTCACCTGTGATCTAATTTCCTATATGGCCAAATCCCCTGCCCTCATAGGCCACAGATGCCATGGCTCATGTGGCCGGCTTCACTGTGGCTCATGACGTGAGTGCTCGTGACTGGCAAATGAGACGCAATGGGAAGCAGTGGCTGCTGGGAAAAACCTTCGACACCTTCTGCCCCCTGGGCCCTGCCTTGGTGACCAAAGACAGTGTAGCAGGTAGGTCCCTGGTCTTTGCCACCTACACCTGCCCTTGCACAGATAAGCAGCACTCCCAGGAGGAGTGCAAGTGCAGCTACACGCGGGGCCCACCCTCCCTGGCTGCCCTTTTGCTGCTGACTCCATAAAGGGCAAGTCTCTAAGCCTCAGCCATTAGCTCCCCAGGGCTCCCTCCCTGCGCCCCCTAGAGGGAGCACAATCGCAGAGGATGTGAAACTCCATGCATGAAGTGAATCAGAACATCACTCAGCTGATAGGTGTGTCAGGCTTCTAGCTGCCACCATGTGGAAAGTCTTTAAGTTGGAGGGAAGCAAAGCTGGCCCTGAGCATCTTGGGGAATGGCTGTCACAGACCTGGGCATGTTCCACAGTAAGGAAGATGAGAGCGCACCAATGAGACCTCGCCTAGCCACTGTGTAAACAGAACAGCACCAACTACGATCAGCAAAGACACAGTGAAAGTCACAAGGGAGGCAGAGGCTAAGAGGGCAGAGCACAGCCAGTCACAGCCACGGGGGAGATGTTCAATGGGTGAGCCACACCGAGGGCCCCAGGGCCTCGCAGCAGAGTCCTCAGTGAAGTTAAATTGTATTTCAGCTGCTTTACCTAAAGGGGGTGTAGAACACAAAGACTGCCACTAAAAACGTTAAAAATGCTGGTTAGCCAGGACACTTATGGACATGGCTTGTTCTGTCACCCTGTTGCTCTGTAGATGCTGGGTCATTTTTTTTTTTTTTTTTTTTTTAAATCTACAGGTGCAGCCTCTGCTGTGGACAGACATCTTGTGTTTTGGGGTTTTTTTGTTTTTTGTTTTTTTTTTTTAAGATTAAAAACCCTAGGCATTTTTCTTTCCCCTTTCAGAGTCTGGGACATCCCCTCCTTAACTCATCCAAGTGACTACTGCCTGGTGCTGTGCTAGGGATGCAGGGAGGCCCAAGAAGGCCAATGTCTATACAGAAAGTTCTAAGATACAGTGCTGCGTCAACATGGGCACAAACAAAGCCCTTTTACCTAGCAAATCACAAAGCCTTCCTACAGTTTTATTTTTGTAAATATGGGGAACGGTTTGAGGGGGAAAAAGGGATAACCTGAAGGTGTTGTTTTGCATTTCAGATCCACACAACTTAAAGATTTGCTGCCGAGTGAATGGGGAGGTGGTCCAGAGCAGCAACACCAACCAGATGGTGTTTAAGACAGAAGCGCTGATAGCCTGGGTCTCCCAGTAAGTGGGATGCAGCCTGCCTTGGCCAGCCCCTTCCCGCCTGCCCACACACCTGGAGGCTGAGCCAAGGCCTCCACCCCTGGCTGTGGCTACTTCAGCCCCTAGTCTCACCAGGTTCTTTTGCTTTGCCCCAGGTTTGTCACTTTTTACCCAGGGGACATCATCCTGACTGGGACCCCCCCAGGTGTTGGTGTATTCAGGAAACCCCCTGTCTTTCTCAAGGTAGGTTAGCTAAAAGGAAAGGGAGCAGGGACCCAGAAGGCCTTGCAGACTTGAGGAAGTCCAGCCTATGTGTGTGTACGTGTGTCAGACTATAGGGCTGAAACCCTCACGGCCTGCTCTGTTGCAGAAGGGAGATGAAGTCCAGTGTGAGATCGAAGAACTAGGCGTCATTGTCAACAAGGTGGTGTGATGGCTCCTGCACAGGCCCTGGACTTAGGACAAGATGGGGGCATGCACTCCCACTCAGCCCAGCACAGGGAAAGGCCCAATGCCAGGCGCGGGCAGGTGCCAGCCCCGTCAAGGCTCCTCTTCTAGGTAGAAAGGGGAAAGAGTTCTCAATAAATTTGTCAAGCTAGAGCAGCAGCTTGATTGATGCTACTGTTTGTCATCTTTTAGGGTTGGTTTCATGGGATGAGATGGGGCATTTTCATGGCGCTGGAAAAGGAGAGAACAGACAGACACAGACACCAGAAAGACACTGCTGGGCTTGGAAAAAGGACTCATCCAGTCCCTTGTTTATCACCCCAAAGAATGAAGAAAGGGAGAGACAGCAAGGCACAATCAAACCTCAAAGATTTTATAGTCCAGCTAAGGGTTTACAGTTTCCTCTCCATCTTCGGGCTGTAGGACACAGCTGTGGTCTGGGGCTAAAGAGTCTCAGCACAGGCTCCACCCTACAGTTCTAGTTACAAATGAACTGCCGGATGAACTGTTCCAGCTTGTCCTGATTGTCCCGGACAGCAAAAGTAGGGGACAGGTGGAGCCTGGGACCTGTAGGGCTGGGTATCTGCTGCAGAACCTGGGCCATGGAGATGGACCATGGGTGCCCTCATCACAGGTACTGGGCCCAGGGCCCAGGGCCAAGCCTTTCCCCTCGAAACCTGCCTTGAGACCTCTGGCCCCTTAGGTCTCAGTGTTTGAGTGCAAATGCCACCTCATCTCAAACCACCCCTGGTAACCCCCACCTGGGAGAAGGATAAGCCTGTGATTTGGGAGACCAAGAGGGGCAGGAAAACCATCCAGCCTTCTCCAACCCACTGTCACCACACCTGGTGGACACCAGGCAGATCCTAGGGTCTTAGTGACATATCATCATGGCCAGCCCTGTGGGGTGGTGGGGACACAGCTGGGTTCCCCTGGGCAACTCTATCAGGGGGTGGGCATGGGAAGGAGGATGGTGACAGTGGCTCTCCTCACCCCTAGGTCTCTGAAGGTCCAGACAGCACTGATGGCGAGGTTTGGGTCCGCACACTCTGGAGGGAAGAGAGAAGTGAAGGCTCTAGGGAGGGAGGGCAGGGAGCCATGGGGCAGGGGCTTCTCCCCTCCTCTTATTTAGAGAAGGAACCCAGGGATAGGCTCAGACTGGACTGAAAGACCCTCTGCTCTGCAGGCTTCCTTCCTGGAGTTGGGCTGTCAGTGCCCAGCAGGGGGCAGCAGCCACCAGCAAAACCCGCCCATCTCCAGGAGCCTAGGATGGCTGCTTGGGACTCACCAAAGGTCCCTTCTTCCTGGGCAGTGGCCTGCAAGAACTGGAACAGCTGTTCTGTGTAGCCTGACTCTGTGGGAGAGAGAAGACCTAGACCCAGGGCCCTGCTCAGGCAGAGCCTGACCTGAGGACTGCAAGGGAGGTGAGAGCCTCACCGGTATCAGGCAGCTGGCCCTGGTGGAGGAAGGAGGCAGCCTGTGCAAAGGCCTTGAGCAGTGGGCCAAGCAGGCGGCAGAGGAAGAGGAAGAAGTCCGGGCAGCGTGACTGTTGGCTGATCTGGAGAAGACAGGCCAGGGTGAGGGCAGCTCCCCGACGCCCTCCCTCCCCCCTCCCTCCTGGGGTAGCTTCTCCCAACACACCCTGAAGTACCGGCCCTCAGCCGCCTCGAAGTCATCGCTGTCACTATCAGTAAAGTCCCCACTTGGTTTCCACAGCAGCTTTGCACTCAAATGCTGTCGCCCTGTGTCACAGGCTGTCCGGGAGCTGGGGGTCTGGGGGCCGTAGGAGCCATTGGTCCCTGACAGGCTGGCCAGGGATCAACCATACAGCCCAGACCAGGTACATGGAGGCAAAACCAGTAAGAGCAGACCTAGGGAGGCCAAGAGGATGCCCAGAGCCACGCCAGACCATAGCACCTGCTGGGCTGACTTGCAGGGTGAGAAGAGGTGAGCACCAACCCTCAAGATCAAGAAATGTGGGGTAGGGATTGTGCAGAGAACCTCACAGGCACATATCCAATCCTGTCTAGGGCGATGTGTATGGGCCTAGGGCAGATGTGGTCACATCCTGAGGCATACAGCTTCAACTCAGGCTTCCCTGCCACCAGGCCAGGGGGCTGCCCATCCCCATAGCATACACAGGGCAGAGGAGCCTGGAGCAGCTGGCACTCAGGGTAGGAGGCTGGAGGAGGTCAGGCCCTACCCAGGGGCTTTGTCTCCAAGAGCCCTGCCTACCTCCTCAGCAACCAGGAGCCCGCACTGGATGAGACGGTCCAGCACTTCCTGACAGTAGCAGTAGGAAGACTGACAGGGCTGGGGAGAAAGAGGCACCAGTGTGGCCTCAGGAGAGCCAGGCACATCGGTGACGGCCTCGCCAGAGGCAGGGCAAGGCCAGAGGTCTTAGGGGTAGGACTCAGGCAGGAATGGGCCACCTGCCACCCTGAGGGGAAGGCCCAGGACCAGACTGGCTGTGGGGGGAGGCCTGACCTGCAGCAGCAGCAGGTCCTGTGGCAGCAAATGCAGCAGCAGCAGGATCTGGCGGTACAGCTCATTCTGGCTCAGCAGCTCTACGCCTTGCAGCTCCCAGGGCCCCTCCGGCGGCACTCTGCCTGCAAGCAGCCCCCTCACAGCACAGGCTGGGGTTGGTGGGGGCCGAGCATTAGAAGGAGCCATTCCCCTCACCCCTGCACACACATCCCACCCGCCCTGAGCCCTCAGGACTCACCGCCCACAGCCTCACTTAGGAAGGCAGGCAGCAGCTCAGCACTCAGGCGTGCCAGGTGTGTGAGGCCTGGGCCAGGCCGTGGCACCACCAGCAAGTCCCTCTGGTGGACACGCAGCAAGGCCACATGTGCCCGCAGCAGGGTCAGCGTATGCTGCACCAGACACCGCAGCTGTCCTGAGAAGCCTACGTCAAAGCCACGCAGCAGAGTCTCCTCTGTCAGCCAGGAGAACTCGCCCAGGAGCTTCGACAGGAACACGCCCTGGGTGGGCAGAGCAGGGCTGAGCAGGAGGGCGGTAACCCCTCACCCAGGTCCCCACCACACTGCATCCTACCTTCTGGTGCTTGAACAGCAGCAGTGCTGCCATAATGGCCGTGCTCATCACCGCTGAGCTTGCCACGCTGGCTGGGGTGGGAGTGGGGGGTGCTGGTCAGGGGTGGAGGCCACCAGGTCCTTCCATCATCTGGCAAGTCCTCCCAGCCACACAGCCTCAACTCCACCCCAGGGAGGGGGAAAGCAGCTCCAGAGAAGTAGAATTTATCATGTATATGCAGAGAGCCAGGCCACGAGCTCAGGGACGTTCCCTGGATCTTGTAGGGCCCACCCACCAACCACAGCCTCCAGCACAAAAGGGGCACTGGGGAAGATACTGAGAGAATCCTGGAAGCCCTCTCTGTGCAGGCACTGTGTTAAGTCCCTGGCGTGCACTACCCATTCAGTTAACATCCTCACAGGTAAGGAGACTGGGCTCAGGGAGGTGCCACAATGAGCCTGAGGTGGGGCTGGGTGTGGCCTGGGCTCAGAGTGTACTCACTTAGCTGCTCCCTCATGCCCTCCCTGGCTGCCCCGCGCCTCAGAGTTCCGTACTTCTTCAGATGTCCCAAGTGTGCCACAGAGAGAGGGTGGCTCAGGTTATATACCCACTTGGAAGGGAGGGCCCTAATGACTGGCTGGCCCAAAGAGAGAAGGCACATTCAGGGACTCACCCTCAAAAAGGCCCAGATCTAGTTCCCCCTCACCATTCAGGACGTGACAGCTCAGTCTCCTGACTAGGAACTGGTCCTCTGCCCTGAGGGCCAGGAGGGGCCCAGTTATAGGGGTCCATTCCTGCTCCTTCTCAGTGTCTGGAACAGCAGTACTAGGATAGAGACACAGATCTCAGGATGAACAGACCAAACCTAAAAATACAAACCTAAAAGCCCAGGGCTTTCTCAAAGGTGAGGGTATTTCCCCAATCCCAGCCCCAGAGGAGGGGATGACTCCCTTCCAGGCCTGTGTGCCATACCCCACACTCAGACTGTTGGCCAGGTGAGTGCCTGGTACTGCTCTAGATGACCCGAGGATATTCGGTGAGGGAAGGCTGCTGTTATGTTTCAGTATATGGGGGCGGAAGCATCAGCTACACAAGCTGGTGCCGAAGGGCTGCCTGCCTTGCCCGAGACCCGCACGCTCCCCTACCCCTACCATTGGCCCAGCACGACAGGCTGCAGAAGCTGCTCCAGAGTCTGCCTGCTGCTCCAGCAGCTCCTGGCGTTGATGGTGTATTCCTGCCCGGGACAATGCTCTTAGGTGGCCTGCTCTGGCCCACCAGGAAACTTGCACACAACCCATAAGAGGTATGCAAGGCTATCCCTGCAGTGGCTTTGAGGACCAGACTGCCAGAAGCCCCAAGACAGACCCCCATGTACTCCCAGCCTGGCTGGCTCCATACCTGTAGGGAGAAGGGCTGAGCTAGGTGCACCCGGACACAGACCCGGCGACTGCGGCCCCAACAGTTGCGCAGGCTCCGCAAGACAGCCAGAGCTCCTGTCCACAGCCCCAGGGGAACTGAGGCCTGCAAGGAAAGAGAGGCTGAGTGCATCAGCTCATCCTGGGCACTGTTCTCAGGCAGGCCTCAGGGCTGGCTGTCCCATCCTGCTCTCCAGAGGTTTCCTCTGGTCCCAGCCTGCTCAACTTTATTTCAGGCCCATCCTGATGCATGACCTGGCCCTCTCCAAGCTCTTATTTTCTCATCCATGAAAGAGGAAAAATCCCTCTGTAGTGGGGTCTTTTGAGGCTTAAATGAGATGATGATGGTAATGGCCTTGGCAGGTGCCACAGGATAAGTGTAGGGAGAATTCCTTTGTGCCACCCCCGCCTCCAGCCCTAAAGGGGGACTCAGCCATAGGACTTAATATTGTGCTTTCTTTTTGGAGCTGGTGTCCAGCTGGGGTCCCAAGGGGCAGGAGGGTCTCACATGGTGTATTTCATGTGGTGCATCTGGAACCAGGTCATAGGTGACGGCCACTGGCACCAACATAGCATCTGGGACAGTACCCCCCTGGACCGCCTGCACCACCAGTCCCAGCCAGGCCTGGCCCAGGGCTGACAGCCGTGGACCCTGGGCTCCAGGGGGCTCCTCCAGGAAGATGAGCAGGGGCTGCCCACTGACCAGCAGCTGCTCCATGACCTGGAATGGGAGGGGAGAAGCGGTAAATGTCAAGGCCAGAACAGAACAGACCCCTGTACCCGTGGCCTGGCCCCATACATAACCACTGGGGGCACTTACCGCATGGACCACAGTCCTTGCAAGGACCCCCTCAGAGCTGTCCAGGGAAAGGTTGGCCTCTGGGGGCATGAAAAGCCCCCCAAGGTTCCTCAGCAGAGCTCTGTGGGGCACAGGGTAGAGCCTGATTAGGGAAGGGGCTCTGGAGATGAGACTGAGCAGGGGGCTACTGAGTGCCTTGCCCACCCCCACCCCAAGGCCAGCCATGGCCCTGGGACCTGTGGCTGACCCTCCATCTGAGCCCTACAGCCCCACCTGGCATATGGCAGAGAGGTGAGAAAGAGGGCCTTTGGGGAGCTGCTGCCAGCACACCCCCATACACACCCCTGCCCCAGCCTGAGACTTCTCCCTTGTATGTCTACGGGCACAAAGGTTTTACCTGAGGGCAGGGGAGCAGGTGTGGGGGTCCCAAGCCACACGGAGCACGCCTAGGCCCTGGGAGAGCAGCACAAAGGGCAGCAGGATCCCGTCCAATAGGGACTTGTGAGTAGAGAGGAGGACAAGCGGCAAGCCCTGCTCCGGGGAGAGCCAGAGGAAAGTGCCAACCTGCCCCACCCTGAAGCCACAGGAAGCCAAAACCCAGCACCTCCAGATGTAGGGCAATCCCAGAGGGAGAGAGGAGGGGAAGGTTCAGCTGAAGAGTTCTTCCTCTGAGCACATTTCCCAAAAGTAGAGGAGCCTTTTGACAACTTTTAAGGTAACGAGAATTGACGTAATGGTTGTTAAGACCATGATGAAAAGACGTTAGAGGAAGCCCCATGGGAGCAGGACCGTGAGACATAAAGAGAAGGTCGGCAAAGAGCAGTGGATTTTTCCCACCAGCTGATGGGGCTAGTCCGGACTTAAGGGCTTGGCCCAGCCTCTGCTCCCACCATCCTCATCCCAAAGGAGGGCCAGCCTTACCTCCTGGGCAGCCTTGTGGACCATCTTCATCTGACCCTTGTGGAGCTGAACATTCAGGAAGAGGCAGTTCAGGAACCGCAGCAGCACCCAGCTGAACAGCCTGGGGAGCAACACCTGGCCTCGGGTGTGGCAGACGCCCAGCCCACCAGCCCATGAGGCTCAGCCTCACACCCCTCAGAGTGGCACCCAGTGCTCCTCTAGGGCGGGCGCTGTTGTCCTCATTTTATAGAAGAGGAAAGTGAAGCTCAGGGAGGCTATAGAAGTGCTGAATAGAGAACACAAAGAAGTGGTGGTGCTGGGACTGGGAGGAGGGCCTGACACCAGAGCCCACGCCTGCGTGGCACTCATACTCTCCCAAGACCTCCTGCTGCAGCTGCCTCACGTCAAGTTCAGAGCATCTGCTGATTACCCAAAAGGAGACTAGAAGACCAAGACTTTCTCCAGGCAGAACCCAGCCTGGTCTTTGAAAACTGCTGGGAAAGGTGGGATAAAAGGGAAGGATTAGTGGGACAAGAAGAAAAACGGGTAACTGCAGGGGCAAAGTCCCTGGCAGGTGGGTGGGTTGTCCAGAGGCCCAAAGTGGGGGCCAGCTTTAACTGAGGACAAATATGCAGATGCAGGCAGCAGGACATGTGGTGGACAAGCAGCAAGTCCCCATCTGATGGCTTCTATTTCTTCCTTTATCTGCACTTACAAATAAACCAGTCCACCACTGGGTGCTTCTCCAGCACCGTTTGGCTGCTCAGGTGCACAGAGAAGGCAGTAGCCAGGGTCATGCCCAGTGACTCCTTCACAAGAGCATTATTATTACGATGAGCCATGGAATCTGAGCTAGGCCAGGAGGGAAGGCAAGATGGGAGGGGCTAATGGCTGGTGTAAAGGTAGGCAGGTCAAGGGACCACTAGTCTCAACAAAGCTGAGGAATTGTCACAGCAGAGGGATGGTCAAGGTCACCAACAACCTCTACTTTCTATCCTTGCTCAGTGGAACTCTCAGCACTTTCAAGACAGCTGAGCCTGACACACACAGCCCTGAACCTTCCTTTCTTCAGCAACTCATTCATCCTTTTGGCTTTAAACCTATGCTAAAGCTGTGCAAACTGTCCCGGCCCTAGCCTCTCTTCTGAGCTCTAGACTCATATATGCAACTACCTCCTGTTTCCACAACGTCAGGTACCAAAACTCTCTATCCAAAACATCCTTCTGGGGCAAACTCACCTCTCCCCAAGTCTGTCCCTCTCTGTATGTACCACCAGGTACTAGGCTAGCAAGGGGGCTCTCCTGTGATTTCTCCCTTTTGACCTCACCCCACCATCCAATCCATCAGGGTGTCCTGGTAGTATCACCTTGATCTCTCAATCTGCTTTTTCCAGCCTCTACTGTCCATTGTCATGTCTCACCTGGACTAAGAGAGCAGCCTTCCAGATGGTTTTCTGGTCTCTACTCTTGACCCTAATTCATCATGTTGTCACTCCCTGCTTAGAACCTTTCAACTGATTTTCAGGGCACTTAAAGATCCAGTCCAAACTTCCCGCATGGCCCTGCATGATCTCGGCCCTTCTGACTCTCAATTTTACCTCCAGCAGCTCTCTCCCTGTCACTTGCCAGCTTCCAACCACATCAACTACTTGAGCAAACCCAGCCCTTTCCTGCCGAGGGCCATAGGTCAGCTAGCTATTCCCTCCAGTAAGACTGTTGCCCCCATTCCTGTACCCCCAAGGCTGGCTCCTTCTTCCCATTTTGGCCCTCATTTACAATCTCTTCCTCCCCCTACAGGTATTCTGAGTCTCAGCCCATGCTCCTTCCTTCTTGCAGGTGTGTACATCTCTGTCCACCTCTCGGGGCCCTGCATCTAACAGGAGCTCAGAGTTGTGCTGAAGGCACATGGGGAGGGGAGGCAGGGGGTAAGAGCAGGCTGCAGCCCATTTTGGTAAACATCATCCACCTCCCCAGGAAGAGAGTCCAGCTATTCCCTGAGCCCAGCTGACATTTCTTCTCCACAAGGGCAGAGGCCCTAGCCCAAGGGCAGGTGTCCCTCAGCACAGAGTTACCTGAGCAGGAAGGGGCGGGGTGGGGCCTGGATGTGGCCCAGGATGCGCTGCACCTCTTTCTTCACATGGTCAGACACCTGGCCTTCTCCAGCACCCTCTGGGGCCTTCCCTGAGAGAATTTTCTGCACCCTGTGCAGAGAGGAGTGGTGTCGGGCTGGGGCAGGCCTACGGTCTCTCAGGGCACAGCTTCCGGTCTTCACCCTCCTTCTTTAAGGAAGGGTCCCAGATAAAGCTAATGCTCTGAAGCCTCACCCCAGCCAGCTCTCTCAACCACCCCTGCCTAGTGCCTTTGTCATCCCTTTCAGGACCCCAGAAGTGCCAGCCAGACCCCAGTCCCTGTCTCCTCACCCAGTGCTTTCCATAATCTTCTGTGGGGCATCCTGGCAGGGGGGTATGTGTTGCTCCAGCGACCACAGAAAATAGCAGAGCCTCCGAACCAGCCAGCCCCGGAACCTGGGCACAGCCCCCAGAGCAGGGAGGAAGATCGTTCAGAGAGCTCTACCCCCACTAGGGTCCACTGCAGGCTATTAGATCAGAAAGGGATGGCACCCAAACCCAGGTCCCAGGAACACCTGAGCAGGAAAAGGAGCCACCTGCCTGTCTGTGTCCCATTCCCACCCCTCTCCCCACTGAGCTGGGTACAGCTCGAGGGCCTGACACAGTGGGCAATCCATGTATGCTCACAGAAGGAACTGCAGGGGAACGCCACGCTTGCCTCTCCCCATAGGCTTGGGTATGGAGCAGAGGACAGGGGCTCTTCTTTTTCCATGGGAGGAAGAAAATGGCATCACAAAGCAGGGCCCCAGCTGCCCTTCACCCAAGGGGCCCTACCCACCACCTTGCCCTCCCCTGGCTCTGACTACCTGGTATTCTCCTCCTTCACCAGGATCACACTGCCGAAGCCTAGATCCATTATGCTTCTGTGGAAGAGGGACTCCTGCCAGATTGGGGGCAGGGACAGCATGTCCTGGGAGGCCTTTGCAAACTGGCAAAGAAAAGCCCTTGTCCTGCCCCTCTAGTCTGTCCTAATGGCCTACTGAGTCTTCCAGGAGAAAGGATTACAGCACAGCATTTCCCAAAAGATGTTTGACCCCATATCCTTCTGCTGGCTCAAGATAAAGGGGTTCATGCTCAAAACGGAAGTGCAGAATCACCCTCTTTGAGAGTGGCACATTAAGTCTCCAAGAAGTTCTCTCCTCAACAGCAGCGAACTAGCCTGGCTCTCCATCAGAAATCTGGGCCCCCTCAGCACCAGCACATGGCACAGATGAAAAAGAGGTCTTCAAGCATGTACTGAGTACTGGAGAAGTTTTAGTGGGCAGTGTCCCTAAAACTGAACAACACGATTCCTGCAGGCACAGTTAGACCCCAGCCTCTGGGCACACCCCATCACCCCTTAGGTTCCTCTGTACTTGCCCCACCCAACACTCCCAGGCCTGAGAGCAAGCCACAGCCCAACAACACAACCTATAACAGTGCATCCATTCCCTTGAAAGACAAAAGCAGAGGCACGGGGCAGCATAGGACCAAGCTTGGAAGGACACAAAGGAAGCAGCTTCCTAGAGCTGCGGCTCTCAGAACCAAGCTTTCCAGGGTGGCCTTGGCCCTACCATCACTCACCCAGCTCTTGGGGGTGCAAGTCTGGCAGCAGCGACCCACAAAGGGGCGATACTTCCCCAGGAATGGGGTGACAGCCTCCAACTTCATCCCAAAGCCTGAGGACGACAGGCTGGTCTGGAAAAGGGCCACAGGGAGAGGTAAGAGGACTCAAAGTCCTTGGCAGAGGGAGAGAGGCTCCAGGATTGAGGGGCACGAGAAGGGCAGAAGGGAAGGGTAGAGGGTGTTCTAGGAATGGGAGGGGCCCCACTACCTCTCGGCCATTGCAGCTGCTCCTCTGCTGGGTTTGAAGTCTGCCTTCCAACATGGTGGCTATGAGAGCCTATAAGATCTGGAAACCAGTCACCTCTCCTTTCTCCCTCTCTGTACAGGAACCTGACCTAGGAAAAGGTGGGAGGATGGAGCCATATGGAATCTGAGCCATAACCCAGGGGTTCCTGGTTTGACCTCAATCCCCCACCCCCAGGAGAGATAGAAAGCACCCAGGTTAGCAGAGGTGAGCAGAACCTAGGCTGGAAGCTAGCAGCTGGCTCAGATCAAAGCCCTGCCCCACAACCAACTGGTCCCACCAAGGAGCCAGCTATCCTCAAAAGGTTTCACAGTATCCAGGTCAGGTGCTCCCTCTGGCCAACATGAGGGGGATCGATTGTCTTACCATCAACACCCACCCTGCCATCTCCCAGCACAGATGAGGGCTGTACTGGACATTCAAATCCCTTCTGTGCAGAGGGAAAGAACAAGGCCCGGATTGGCAGGAAGAAGGCATGAGACTGCCAAAGAGGAACAGGACCATTACCATGAGGCCACCAGGTCCTACTCAGCTGCTCTCCCTCTCCACTTCCCCACCAGAAGACAGCCCTTTATCCACTCAGTCATTACAGGAATGTGGACCAGTTACTAGACGGGAGCCAGAACATAGAGAAATGCCAAACACCTCTTCCCAAGGAATGCTCATCCAGTAAGGAGAAGATAGACTCTTCCATAATTGATCCCCTCTCATGTAACATTCTCCACAGAAGACACCATTTGGTATCCCCTTAGTCCCCTCCTGCCCACCACAATATTCCCCTGAACTAACAAATATCTATGTTCTGTAAAACAGCACTTAACCCCTTCTGGCCCCAAAATTGGGCTCTAAAAACCCTCTAGATTTCTCATCATGTCCCTGATAAGTAGGCTGGTCTACTTATTTACATTTTCCCCAACCCCCACCACACTATGCACATGTCCACCTGGGAGTGCCTTCTCCCTTCCCAGCCACCCATCAAATTCTGCACATAGCTCTAAGTTCATGATGACTCTGGAATACCCGCTAGATTCTCCCTCTCTTTCTTGGATCCCTAGCCCAAGCTTGCTGGGCAAGAAGCCATGTGAACCCATCCTTGAGCACTAAAGTTTCACCTCCCCACAGTATCTGAACGTGTCCTGCAGGCAAGAGCTGCATCTGACTCATCTCTATATGTCTAGCAATCTGGCCTACATGAAAAACAAACCAAGGGAGAGCTAGATGACTGACTGTAACTTCCTCTCCAAGAATTCCTTAGGCTCTCCCTTTCCTTTCCCCAGTAAACTCAGTTTAGAACCGTGAAGCCAAGTAGTAACAGGATCACAATTCCTACAGTGCACAGGCTCTGTGGGACTCATCCTAAAAGCACTCCTAATTTTGAAAATGTTCTCACAGCCCCTTTCATAGACACATGGCACAGGGAAAGCAGCCTGTGGGGAGTCCTGCCTGCTTTGGAAGGCACTCCCAATCCCAAAATCTAACCCCACTAGATCTGTGCTAGCCCTAAAGGGGCAGAGTAAAAGATGGCAAGTGGTAACCCCTGTCTGCCAATTAAGTCAATACTCAGCCCACAAAATCCAGAGATCAGTTCTGGCATATATCTTTCTAGTACCCAAGTCCCCAAAACTGACTTCTGTCAGTCTGTAGTTACTGCCTGGATGACCCCTTATCACAGGACACTTAAAGCACAGGTTGCAAACTGCCATCCCAAGGGCCAAGTTTCAAATATATACTCACATATATATTTTCTTTAGCTGTACAATATGCTAAAACTTATGAATTAAAACCAACATTTAAAATTGGACAGTTTGTTATATAAAAAAATCAAGAGTTTCCAGTTGCTGTTGTAAAGAAATCTGAGATCTGGCATCCCTGAGCATACACCCCACAGGGCCTCGGCTGGCAGGAGCCCAGCGGCCACTGTCTCTTTAGCCCGGCAGCATGAGCCCTCCCGTTTGCCACCACATTGATTATACCTGATGCCTGCCCCTGTGCACATCTGAACAGTGTGCAGTCCTTGATCAAAGGATAAAAATCTAAACCCGTTACCCTGTTTGGACTGTTTGTGCCCTACACAGAACCGTAAGAGAACTTATCCTTTACAGCCCAGCTTGAATTTGACCTCTTCGCCCACAACCCCGTCCGGGGGGCCCCTCAGAACTCGGGTCCCTCACCAGACCCATGGCGGGCATAGCCTGAGCTACCTCAAGACAGACAAAAAAGGTGCCTGCCCCGCATCCTTCGTGGACGCCTCCCTACCGGTCTAGGGTGAAGAGATGCCGAGGACATTGCACACGGAGGCTCTCCAATTCTATCCACCGCCGCCCCCAACATGGGTCCCTCATAGGGACTCTTTTGCAACACAAGCCTTGCATGGCCGGCGCTCTATCCGTCCAACCCCGCCAGTCCCCAAAACACTGGCCGGCCCAGTTCCTGAAGTAGGAAAGTCCCATGATGATTCCGGGCCTGGTCTGACCTGGCCCAGCCGGGAAGCTACCCAGCCCTCGATCTCACCTCACACCGCCACCAACTCCCGCCAAGGAAGCTGCCAGGCGAGGCGGCCGGAAGGCGCAGACAGGGGCCTCAGCGCGCCAGACGCACAAGCAGCCCCGAGAGCCAATTGGGACACGCGCTGGGCCCAAAGCCCCGCCCCCTGGCGCCCCCGGCCCGTGAGGCGCTGTATGCCCTGCTGCACTGGATGTGGCCACGTGACCCTTGCGCAGGGCAGACCTCGGGATCACGTGGGGACCCCTGGAGGAGTTCACGAGACCCGAGGAGACCCTGGCTGCCCGAAGGTTGGAGAAGGACTCCTAAGTAGCCAGGTTCTAATGAAAGAGGTTCCCAGGGTATGCACTCCGCCAAGTTCAGGCTCTAGCAAAATTCTGAGTTGGGGATGATTAGAAAAGAGCCCGTTTGGGGTCATAGAAAACAAGTCAGGCCTCCCCAGTGTCATTTCCTTTGTTAATAAGAACTCTAGACATAGGGACCTGCTGCAGCTGCAAGGTGCCTAGGTTTCAGCTGGGCCTGTGACCAGTGTATTCATTCGTGTGATTATTTGATTAATACCCGACTCCTGTGGCCCTAAGCTCCGTGTGAGCAAAGACCTTATGGGTTCATTCATCTTTTGGCTGTGTTCCCAGCACCCAGCAGGAGACCAGCAAGTGGTAGGAAGCAATATAGAATAAGCGAAGCAGGCAATGACTGTGCTTTGTTCCTGCACTGCCCTACATGTAATGAGCCCACCTGATACACTGGAGGATTCCATAGTTTCAGAACATGTGACTCTGCAGGAGCAAAGCCACATATGAGCCTGGCTGGGCTTAAGGCAGCAGAAAACGGTCTCACATCCCTCCCTCCTCACTGACTCACCACCCCTGATGTAACTTCTCCACCTTTCCGCTCCAGGATCTATCCATCTCTCTCTCCCTTCTTTGTGCTGTTTTTCTGCCTACCCAGGCTGTATGTACGCATCCACTAATTTTAATGCAGGTTTGCAGTGTCCTTCCAGTACCTGTGGAGTCCGTTTTGTTCTCCATCTTACCTTTCTTGTGTATCAGGGTGTGCTGGCCACAACACCCTGAGATTTTGAGACTGAACAAAGAAAAACACCTTTATTTAGAAGTTGTAAGTTGCCTCCTAAAAGTGCAGACTTGAATTTACCTGAGGGCTGACACCTCTTAGTTCTGGGAACACCATTAGTATAGGTAGTTGAGTTTTGAAGTTGTGAACAGGTCCCCACCTCTCCTTCTTAGGGAGATCTAATGCTGAGAAGTAGCCCCAAGGCAGAGGCTGGAAAGTTGCTTGGATTGTGATAGCAGAGACCAGGTCTGTCATCTAGCAGAGTTCTGTCCTCAGATGTGTTGCTTCTTTGGAAGAAATGTGTTTTTTTGTGGTTGTTGTTGTTTGTTGCAACTTGGATGTTTGAAAAAGAGTATCACCTCTCAGACCTAGATCTTAGCTGGGATATGGAGGACTCAGTGTGCCCTTCTTCAAGTAGTTTGAAGAAGATGCAGAATTGCAGTGCAGCAAGACTTACCAGCCAGCTGCCATGCAAACTGACTGTGACCAACCTGACCCTGAGAGAAACAGAAACTCCTTTGGGCTTGGCCCCACCCTGTCTCAGGCCAGAATGCATCACCCAGAATGTCCTGACACATATAACTGACTTCCTGAACCCAGAGGTGCAAAGGCCCTTCCTGTGGTTGGGGGGCAGGTGTTCCCTGAATGCAATGGTAGGCCTTCCTGCTATATATCACCTGAAAAAAAGGACTTAGGCTGGCATTAGACTAAACAGAGGGCTCTTGTCCCTCTTTCTGGGTATCACTGAGGGGATAGGGAAAGGGAGATGTGATGGCTGATTTTAGGTGTCAACTTGACTGACTTAAGGGATACCTAGATAGGTAGTAAAGCATTATTTCTGGGTATGTCTGTGAGGGTGTTCTGGAAGAGACTGGCATTTGAATCAGTGGATTGAGTAATGAAGATCACCCTCACCCCAGTGTGAGCAGGTACCATCCAATCAGTTGAGGGCCTGGATAGAACAAAATGGCAGAGGAAAGGTGAATTTGCTCTTTCTCTCTCCTAGAGTGTGGACACCCATCTTCTTCTGCCCTTGAACATCAGAACTCCACGTTCTCTGGCCTTCAGCTTCCAGGACTTGTACCAGCAGGCTCCCAGGTTCAGGCCTTTGAACTTGGACTGAGCTATGCCACTGGCTTCCCTGGTTCTCCAGCTTGCAGAAGGCATATGGTGAGACTTTTTGGCTTCCATGATTGCATGAGCAAATTCCTGTAATAAATCCCGTCTCACCTCTCTGTCTACCTCTCCTATTGGTTCTGTTTCCGTGGAAACCTAGACTAATACAGGAGGCATGCACAAGGGCCTCTTTCTGAGACACCCCCCTCCCCTCCAAGCCTAGGAGCTCTGAGCACAGCCACCTTTAGAGGTAACCATTGGTTGTGCTTTATGTAGTAGATAGATCCCTTCCATTATTCCAGAACCTTCTATAAAGTCTTGTTAAACATTGCAGA